GTTTGTCTGGCCAGAGTGACTCGTACACTCTACCCTGTGGCTGCTGTGTATTTGTATTTGCATGCTACTTGCACTGTTCTTATCGAGGCCTTGTTTATCAACCCTTTGTTTTGTGTATCATGGTCCAGGGCCTGGCACTGTTCTTATCGAGGCCTTGTTTATCAACCCTTTGTTTTGTGTATCATGGTCCAGGGCCTGGCACTGTTCTTATCGAGGCCTTGTTTATCAACCCTTTGTTTTGTGTATCATGGTCCAGGGCCTGGCACTGTTCTTATCGAGGCCTTGTTTATCAACCCTTTGTTTTGTGTATCATGGTCCAGGGCCTGGCACTGTTCTTATCGAGGCCTTGTTTATCAACCCTTTGTTTTGTGTATCATGGTCCAGGGCCTGGCACTGTTCTTATCGAGGCCTTGTTTATCAACCCTTTGTTTTGTGTATCATGGTTCAGGGCCTGGCACTGTTCTTATCGAGGCCTTGTTTATCAACCCTTTGTTTTGTGTATCATGGTCCAGGGCCTGGCATACCCAGCTTATGCACAAGATGGTTTATGTTCAGGCACCTGGCTGTTTAACCTTGTTCTCGTCATGTGCTGAAGTTTGCTGCTCTGACTGCTTTCTTTACCAATACAGGATGTCTATGGTTAATATATGGGCTTCAGGCTTTTGCTGGCTGTTTTGTTCAAAGAGTAGTTTTGTTCCAGTCTTGGGTTATTTCAGTGGACCTACGGAATTATTCCTGGCATGTCCTCATCCACTTAAGGTTCAGAGATTGGCTTGGGGATTAGAGATAGGGTGCCTCGATTACTGCTTTCGGCTCTACCCTTACCTGGAGAGAGTCTCGAAAGTTCTTCTACTCCCCCCGAGGCCGGCTTAAGGCCAGGCTAGACTTGTGATAACTTGGTCCATCAGGCCGTTGCTTGTAGCTGACCGCATGTCCACATAACCACTACAACCCGGTTGGTCCTTGAAGAGGGCTTTTATACCCAGGAGATTTACCAGGTTGACTTGAGTTTAAAAAGGTCCACATTGAAGAAAAGGACCTTGGAGCCAAAATGCTTCATTCACGGAGAGTTGCACAACAAGTGGGAGCCGCAATAAAAAAGCTAACGAAGCCCCATGAATAATCAAGTGTACCTTTGACTTTAAGGGAAAGAAGGTAGTAATTCAGTTATATAAATCTCTGGTGTGCCCCCACTTGGATCATTGTATTCAAGCATGAAGACTTTATAGAAACTGTCTTTAGAAAGACAGTTTCTTTGGAGAAAGTTCGACACCGGGCAACAAAAGTCATTCCAGAATTAAGTCATCTCCCATACCAGGAATGGCTGAGGGTCACAGGGCTAACAACACTACAGACATGATAAGACTGACCTTATTGAAACTTAAAATATTGGACAATTTGGAGGATGTTGATCCAGACATCTTTAAAAGGTCAGATGTAACACAAACAAGAAGCAACAATTTCAAGCTCAACAAGCAACAATGTAGGACTGAAAACAAGTTGCTTTTTCACCCACGGGTTTTGAACCCATGGAGCCGCTTAAGTGCCAAAGCTGTAAATGCCCAAACTGTTAAGTTTTAATATTCAGCTTGAAAAATAATCAGGACAATTTGGGGATCTTTGACAAGCCCTTCCTGTCCTTGTTGAGGCCACTAGAGTGTTAGTGGCTCTCAGATAATTTCAGGTACATTTTGGCCTACTTTGATGCCTGGCTTGTTTGATCTTAACAGTCACTGAGCATATCTGCTAGTTATGGATTTGGTAATTTTTGAGCTGACCTTTAACATCTTGGTCAATCTTGGGCAGTCACAATTGGTGCTAGCTCATTTCTTTCCATTGTTGGGGTTTGGTTTGTCATGCCAGGATAGCATTCTCCTTCTCTTTAAGAAGCCGTCCTTGAAGCATTTGAATAGCAATACTTGCACTGATCTAGGGGTGGTTCTAGATAGAAAACTATCACCTGACGACCACATAAAGAACTTTGTGTGTGTGGAACCTGTGCTACGCTTTCCAATTTCAGAGACTTTTTAAATACATGGATGGTGAATACTAAAGAAATTGGTCAGAACTTTTGTGAGATCAAAGCTGGAATATGCAGCAGTTGTATGGTGCCCATATCTTAAGAAGTACATCAACAAACTGGAAAAGGTGCAAAGGCATGTAACTAAATGTTTCCCAAAACTGAAGGACAAGAACTACGAGAAGAGGTTAGAAGTGTTAAATATGCCGAAGTTAGAGGATAGAAGAAAAAAAGGTGATATCACTACATTCAAAGTACAGTAGTAATGAGAATCAACTAAATTTATAGGGAAGAATTAATGAGACCTGGAACTTCAAGAACAAGAGTTCATAGATTTAAACTAAACAAAGCAGCCAAAGAAATAAAGAAAAATTCACTTCAGCAAACTGAGTGGTAGACGGTTGGAACAAGTTAAGTGAGAAGGTGGTGGAGGCCAAAACCGTCAGTAGTTTCAAAGCGTTATGTGACAAAGAGTACTGGGAAGACGGGACACCACGAGCATAGCTGTCATCCTGTAACTACACTTAGGTAATTACTGTGTTATATTACACATTGGAAGTACAGTACATAATTCATTTTGGTAATACTGTACAATGCAGTACCTCAATTAACATAGTTAAATATTGTTTATTGATGTATAATAGAAGTGTCCCTGTTTATAAGTTTAGGCTACACAGCTTGTATTTTCATCACATATATTTCCATTTGTTTACTAAAAGCACAATATGAATACAGTGTGAGAATAATGGATACTTTATCTTTTGCAATGAAATTGGCTTATTATTAATGTAAGTTTGCATCCACTGGGCTTGTGAAGCATTACATCAGTCGTGTTCCAGCTGTGGCAACATCTGACTGGGCTCGTGAAGCATTACATCAGTCGTGTTCCAGCTGTGGCAACATCTGACTGGGCTCGTGAAGCGTTACATCAGTCGTGTTCCAGCTGTGGCAACATCTGACTGGGCTCGTGAAGTGTTACATCAGTCGTGTTCCAGCTGTGGCAACATCTGACTGGGCTCGTGAAGCGTTACATCAGTCGTGTTCCAGCTGTGGCAACATCTGACTGGGCTCGTGAAGTGTTACATCAGTCGTGTTCCAGCTGTGGCAACATCTGACTGGGCTCGTGAAGTGTTACAGCAGTCGTGTTCCAGCTGTGGCAACATCTGACTGGGCTCGTGAAGTGTTACATCAGTCGTGTTCCAGCTGTGGCAACATCTGACTGGGCTCGTGAAGTGTTACAGCAGTCGTGTTCCAGCTGTGGCAACATCTGACTGGGCTCGTGAAGTGTTACATCAGTCGTGTTCCAGCTGTGGCAACATCTGACTGGGCTCGTGAAGTGTTACATCAGTCGTGTTCCAGCTGTGGCAACATCTGACTGGGCTCGTGAAGTGTTACATCAGTCGTGTTCCAGCTGTGGCAATATCTGTTGGTCTGATGAATTTGTAACTCTCCCCATATGAGTTTTTGGTTTGATGCATTTCATTGTGATTGACAATGGATCTGCTCCATCTAGGCCAACTGCTTTGTTCTTACTTAGCTCCTTGATCATTTTTTCCACCTCATCTCTAGACATCTCTATGTGCTCTATGTTCTCTGGAATTCTTATTTTGTCTGGTTCTCTGAAGATTTAATTTTGCACAAACACACTTTGGAACTGTTCATTTAATGTTTCACACATTTCCTTCTCATTTTCTGTGAATCTGTTTCCTATTTTCAACCTCTTGAATATTATCCTTTATCTGCAATTTACTTTTAATGAATTAATAGACTAGGCCAGGTTCTGTTTTACATTTGTCCACTATCCCTTTCTTAAAATTCTTTCTGCCTCTCTCCTCACTGTCAAGTAGTTGTTTCTTGCATCTTTGTATCACTGGTATGTTTGGGGGGGTTGGCCGCTTACTATATGTCGATTCCATTTTTTAGCCTTTAGATTTCTGACGCTCTCGCAACTACTGTTGAACCAATCCTGTTTCCTAGTTCTGCATTATTGGTTATTGATCTATTATGTTCTTATGGTTATTATGTTGTGCATGTAATGGTTATGAAGTTTTGCACAGGCAGCAGCAGAGTGAGGCAGCAGGCTGACCAAGACCTCAGGTGACCTCGGCTGCCATCTGGTAGAAGTCAGACACATCAGTCATTGTACAGTATATACCCCGTAATGATTGTTTCATCATTGCAGTACCTGAATTTACCTGAGGAGCCACCAGTTCTTCTGGCATTGCAGATTCCACTAATTCTTCTGACATTACCTGGGCTACCAGAGATTTACTGAAAAGGGGTTCAGTAGTAAACTCGGGTCATTGGCCAGTTTCTTTACTATTTTTGGATTGAATTCCATAAAGGAACTGGCCAATGAATTATGCTTGCTACTAAAACTCTTATTCAGAAAATCTCTAGACCAAAGAAAAGTCCCCCCAGATTGGAAAATGTTAATAAAAAAGCTAGAGACTAGTCAGCCTAACCGTACAAACTGTATTTGCATGCTCATGGAGAGAATCCTAGGGACACCAAATTTTCTTCAAGCAATCATTTTTTTTTGTGTGCCAATGTATTTTGGAGGGTTTACCAATGTTTTATGGTTGATCACGGGTTGTTCCATCTCCTGTTCCTGCACATAATGAGTCAGACTGATCCTGGCTCCCAGTGAGTGACGGATGGGTCTCGGAAGCCTGGTGAGTGACAGATCAGTCTTGAAAGCCCGGTGAGTGACGGATGGGTTTCAGAAGCCCTGTGAGTGACGGATGGGTCTTGGAAGCCTGGTGAGTGACAGATCAGTCTTGAAAGCCCGGTGAGTGATGGATGGGTTTCAGAAGCCCTGTGAGTGACGGATGGGTCTCGGAAGCCCGGTGAGTGATGGATAGGTCTTGAAAGCCCAGTGTGTTGGTCTATGATGTAGTGGTGCCAGAATTAGGCTCGGGGGGATCTGCTAGAGGCCCACCACCACCACTTCATTACATTCGATGCTTTGTTTTTGCAGTTGTGGTCATGGAGGCATTGTCGAATGGGGGGGTGCTGGAGGGGGAATCACAGATCATCGGCCTTATCGTAAGTACTGTTCTCTTACTATAAGTGTGAGTATTAAGTCGTTGTGTGTGTGTGTACGTAACTTTAAGATGTAACTGATTGTATGAGGATTCTAGACCAGTTATCTGTAGCATGTGGTAGAAGATCAGGTGAAGAGTTATCCGTTTTCCCATTGGCTGTACAATACAAATTTTCAATCTAATTTTGGTTTTGTCTCCCCCGTATCAACCTACCGTGGCTGTGCGCCCTGGAACGGCCACTCCAGACCGACAACCAGAGCTCCATAGTCTTCTATGACTGATGGATGCCTACTGTATTTGTGCTCTCACCGTAGCACAAATACAAATCACAGCTTCTTGTTATTCTTTGCAGACAAAACCAAAATTAGACTGAAAATTTCCACAGTAAAACACGCTGAAAATCTGAAGAGATTTTCAGGGTAACGAAAAATAGAGATGTCAACATGCTTTCTGGACAGTGATTATCAGGATATGTTTATTATTCCTTTTTGTTTTGCTTGAATAAAAGTATTAGATGAGGTGAGGAGGTGAGCGGTCTGAGTAAAAAGAGAGAGGCATCCCGGGTAAGGTCTTTGATGCACGGGCTGACCCGGGTGAGGTCTTTGATGTATGGGCTGACCCGGGTGAGGTCTCTGATGTACGGGCTGACCCGGAAGAGGTCTTTGATGTACAGGCTGACCCAGGTGGGGTCTTTGATGTACTGGCTGACCTGGATGAGGTCTTTGATGTACGGGCTGACCCGGGTGAGGTCTTTGATGTACAGGCTGACCCAGGTGGGGTCTTTGATGTACGGGCTGACCCCGGTGGGGTCTTTGATTTACGGGCTGACCCGGGTGAGGTCTTTGATGTACGGGCTGACCTGGGTGAGGTCTTTGATGTACGGGCTGACCCGGGTGGGGTCTTTGATGTACAGGCTGACCCAGGTGGGGTCTTTGATGTACGGGCTGACCCGGGTGAGGTCTTTGATGTACGGGCTGACCTGGGTGAGGTCTTTGATGTACAGGCTGACCCGGGTAAGGTCTTTGATGTACGGGCTGACCCAGGTAAGGTCTTTGATGTACAGGCTGACCCGGGTGAGGTCTTTGATGTACAGGCTGACCCGGGTAAGGTCTTTGATGTACGGGCTGACCCGGGTGAGGTCTTTGATGTACGGGCTGACCCGGGTGAGGTCTTTGATGTACGGGCTGACCCGGGTGAGGTCTTTGATGTACGGGCTGACCCGGGTGAGGTCTTTGATGTACAGGCTGACCCGGGTGAGGTCTTTGATGTACGGGCTGACCCGGGTGAGGTCTTTGATGTACGGGCTGACCCGGGTGAGGTCTTTGATGTACGGGCTGACCCAGGTAAGGTCTTTGATGTACGGGCTGACCCGGGTGAGGTCTTTGATGTACGGGCTGACCCGGGTGAGGTCTTTGATGTACGGGCTGACCCGGGTGAGGTCTTTGATGTACGGGCTGACCCGGGTGAGGTCAGCCTGTACATCTAAGACACACTCCTCTGCACAGAGCTGCTAATCACCACAAACAATATGGTGGAAGTGCTGGTAACCAAAATAGAAATTCTAAATGTGGTGATTGTCCTTGTATATAAATCACCTGAAACTAGAATACTTATGAAAATAGAATACTGCTTAGAAAACCCTCACAAACCCTGCCCCCTAACATCATCTTGCTTGGTAATTTCAACTTATATCATCTAAAATGGAAAAATGTGGCTAACACATTCCGAGCCGGTCGGCCGAGCGGACAGCACGCTGGGCTTGTGATCCTGTGGTCCTGGGTTCGATCCCATGCGCCGGTGAGAAACAATGGGCAGAGTTTCTTGCATCCTATGCCCCTGTTACCTAGCAGTAAAATAGGTACTTGGGTGTTAGTCAGCTGTCACGGGCTGCTTCTTATGGGTGGAGGCCTGGTTGAGGACCAGGCCGCGGGGACACTAAAGCCCCGAAATCATCTCAAGATAACCTCATCTCAAGAAGATAACACTGTTATAGCAGAGAATCCCAGGAAACAGTCTGAATGAACAGTCTCACACACACACATGGAAGGTGGTGGAGGCCAAGACCGTCAGTAGTTTCAAAGCGTTATATGACAAAGAGTGCTGGGAAGACGGGACACCACGAGCGTAGCTCTCATCCTGTAACTACACTTAGGTAATTACACATATGACCTCTTGCAGATGTGTGACAGATTTGCTTTAAATCAGCAAATAGTAGAGCCAACTAGGAAAGAAAACATCCTAGACCTTATTTGTTACAAACAACGATGAACTGATCAGGGACATAATGATTACAACTACTTGTTACTCAGATCACAACCTGACCGAAGTTCAGACGAGCATCAGACGAGCGTGGGCAATTGACCTTTGCAACCAATCTCAAATCCCAGAGGAGGAGAATTCAGCAAATTCAATTTTTATAGCAAACTGATTAACTGTTAACAAGTAAACCAAGATCTCGCAGAACTATGCTGAGAAGAACAACTATATAAGCAGGCCCTTGCTTATCTTGCATCTCAAGATAACCTACATAATGCAGACTTAAACCAGTGCTTCGGGAAAATAGGTACTGTACCACTAGAAACATGTAAATGGCATATACCACTAAGAAAAAAAGAGAAAAAGATGCAAACTGAAACAAGAAAGGCGCTCCCTCTATAGGCCAAGAAAACAAATAGCAGAACATCTCAAACATTCCATTCTGTCCCAACAATGCCGAGGAAGGCTGTGTTGGGAAATAGAAATGATTAAACTGAAGCTGAGAGAATCATATAAAATCCAAGAGAGGCAAAGGGAGCAAAAGGCCATAAGTGAAATAAGAGAGGAACCCGAAATACTTTTTCCTCGTATGCAAAAACAAGAACAAAAACTGCATTCAGCATTAGACCCCTTGCACATGGGTGATGGAACTTTCACAGATGACAACAAAGAAATAAGTGAAACACTGAGGATTCAGTACGATTCTGTTTTCAGTGAACCCCTAACCATGTTGAAGATTGATGATTCAAATGAATATCTTCATGAATGTGACACCAACATGGAACCACTTAATAGATGTCACCCTAACCCCACTGGACTTTGAAGGAGCCATAGACAGCATGCCCATGCACTCTGCACCAGGCCCAGACTCGTGGAATTCTATATTCATCAAGAAGTGCAAAATGCCACTATCACGGGCCCTACACATCTTTTGAAGACGGAGCCTAGATGCTGTTGTGATCCCTGACATACTTAAAACAGTGGAGATTGCGTCACTTCACAAAGGAGGTAGTAAAGCAGATGCAAAAAATTATAGACCAATAGCTCTGTAACGTATGGTTATGTTACGCTGTTGAGTTGATTAGATACACAGTGTTTAGTGAGTTTCATATTTACAGGTATTTAGTAGTCCTGGATACAGCAGTGTCGTAGACGTTGAGACGAAGCCTGGAGCAGAGCAGAGAGCTGAGTGAGGCCGGAGTCGTGGAGCTCTATGTGGGAGAGCGTGGCGGCTCCATTGGGAATTGCGAGTGTCTGAACTCGGGGAGCGAGAGCGTTGTAGCTGGATGCGGTCGTAGTCTGCTGTCTGCTCTGTGTCGAAGGTGTAGCGTCTTGGGTTGATTAGAACTGGCCTTGCCGTGTACTACATTCTTGACTGGAGATTGTACTGTTCGATATTCATCAAATCGCTTGCATCTTCTTGAGGTTATCTTGAGATGATTTATGGGCTTTAGTGTCCCCGCGGCCCGGTCCTCGACCAGGCCTCCACCCCCAGGAAGCAGCCCGTGACAGCTGACTAACACCCAGGTACCTATTTACTGCTAGGTAACAGGGGCATTCAGGGTGAGAGAAACTTTGCCCATTTGTTTCTGCCTCGTGCGGGAATCGAACCCGCGCCACAGAATTACGAGTCCTGCGCGCTATCCACCAGGCTACGAGGCCCCTACGAGGCCCCTATGCATATATGGTGATAACACCTCAGCTCCCTCCAACAAGGTGAGACGAGTATTACCTGTAATTGGGGAAAGGATTGTAGCTTCTGTAATTAGTGCTAATTAGTTATGCTATTAAGATAATGAGATAATGGAGCGAGTATAAGGATTACTCGCTACAGCTCTAACCTCACACATCATAAAAATCTTTGAAAGAATGCCGAGAAGTAAGACTACAAATCACATGGAATCACAACATCTACATAACCCCGGGCAACACGGGTTCAGAACAGGGTGCTCCTGCCTCTCACAGTTGCTAGCTCACTATGACATGGTCTTAGGTGCCATGGAAGACAAACAAAATGCAGATGAAAGATACTGTACACAGACCTTGCAAAAGCTTTCGACAAACGTGACCATGGTGTTATTTGCACACAAAATGTGCGCAAAGGGAATTACTGGCAAAGTAGGGAGATGGATCTTCAATTTCCTAACGAACAGAACGCACAGTATATTAGTCAACACAGTAAAATCCGGATCATCTACTCTGAAAAGCTCAGTCCCCAAAGGTACTGTACAGTACTTTGACAACTTGCTGGTGTAGGCTCCCAGCTAGGCTGCATGTCTGGTAGCCAGGGATGTGGTTCGTTCCCAGCTCACCATGTTCAGGCTCCCGGTGAACTAACAAAATTCGCAATTGATTGGTTGGTTCCATCCCAGGTTCAGACTTTGCTGGGCCTCATTTGGGATGGTTGGCTTGCTTTTGTTGCCTCTGGCAGTCCTGACCTGGCTGCAGCACTGCTGTCTGTTGGTCTTGAGTCAGACCTGGGTGACTTGAAGGTTGCAATTGTGCCGGAATCTGAATTTTGCCTGCAGAGTATGTCCTCTGGGCAATAATATTACATTCTTGAAGCTGATCGCAATTCTGGATAAAATCCCAGCGAAGCACAGAGAATCACTTCCAAATGCCTTCACAGAAAATCTTGAATGTTTTCAAACAAATTATCCAGAACACCCAGGTAGAATCAGATTTGGAACCAGATCCCACAGTGGTCACTGAGTCATATCCCAGTGTGGTCATGGAGCCAGATCC